TCGATTTTTTTTTCTTTTAAAATCACTATTGTAGTTCTTGAGGGGGTTTAACATGTTGCATGTTACAACAACTATGATGGAGTAAAAAATGTCTATTCCGGTATTCTCAATTACAGTCAAAAACTGATTTAAGCTTTTCTTTGTGGTAAATAAACCAAAGCGAATCAAAAGACTGGGAGCCACGTGAAGGGAACAGAAAGACCACAAAGCGTGAATGTGAAAAATAAATCAAAGAGGTGTGTGTCTATTTATGAGTGGCCTGTGAAAATGACATGGCTACCAGAAAAACAGAGCATCTTCTAACTTTCATGAGACTATTCCACGTGTTGTTTTATGAATTGGCCACCTATAGAGAGATGTTCGTTTTTAACAAAATTAAAAAAAAAAAGAACAAAAAATGGGGTCTGTTTTCATCATATCTTGGAGGAATGGTCCTCCCCAGCATTGACAATGGCCTTTGCCTCCTTTACTTCGTTTTTATTTTGTTTGGCTGAATCCTTTATGTTCAGGCCCTTTCGTTCAAATTATTGCCGAATAATTCTTTATATCTCATCAAAACTGGTAAATTTTGGTCTACCGTACTATTTAACTGATGACGTTAGTTGTTGTTACGGCAACACAACGTTTTTTTAGTGAACGGCTTTTAGTAAAAACCTAATTAAGAGTAGTTACACTTACAACTTAATCTCACGTGGAACACTATTAAACGCGTTCTAGTGCATATAGTATAGGTAATAACAAAACAAAGGTTATAGCTAGCTAGTGGAACTATTTTAATCAGACTCATAATTCTTGTTATAAATCACATCAACTACAAACCACACGTCAAATTTGTATAGTGATGAATTAACGATCTTTGTAGAAACTGTTAGTCTACAAACTTTAATCTCATAACTAATCTCATCAGTTATATATATATATATATATATATATATTATTTCTAAATGCTAAATCAATCCATAATCTTGAATACCTAACACAACATGATTTATTCACCCCAGACGTACGTGTAGTATGATGATTGAATTTGTATTCAGTAAGGTCTTATTACTCCCTTCTCAACTAAGCTATTGAAAGTTCGTTATCAATTGATTAGTGTTAAACAAAAAATACAAATATTTTTTTTGGTAACAACTGTTGTATAAACTAATATTTAGGGACCGATGGCTAAATGATGTAAAATAAAAGAAAGAAAAATGAGATTGCGTTTTGGGTTTTCTGTATTTTCATATTGTAAATAATATATGAAGTTATTAACCAGTAAGGAAACTCAAATGTAAGACACAAACATTTGAAACAATAGACCCCAATCAGCTAGTGTTTTAAATTGAATAATAAGTTAAACCATGTAACATCGCATAAATAGTGTTAGGGCTAGCTGCGACACTTTATCCCCGGAAAACTTATAGTATATATGCGTATGATATTTGAACACTCTTTTCTTAGTCTACAAAATAAAGTCTTACAAAGAATATCATCAAAGAAACTGAGCATCACAACTGTGTATCATCATCATGTTTTAAATTAGAGCCACAAGATTATAAAAGAGAAGAAAAGAAGAATTGTATCAACATTGATCATATAAAGGAGGGTCCCTTTTCTGTATTTACTTTAGTTATGATTAATAATAAAATTTGGGGTGTAAATTAACATGGGAGTGTTGAGTGTTGTACCAATGAAAATGTAAAGTTAGGGAGGGGGACCTAATTTACGAACTGATTTCCTTTTCGGGTTTTAGTCTATTTTATATCCATTTTTGTTTGGTGCTCCTACTCATGCAACCAAACATCGCCATTTACAATTCTTCCTATTTGTTTTCCCTGCTAAAATAGTTTTTTCTTGAAAATGATATATATTTACGTGTAATTATATTTCGTTCTTATTTTCTTGTGTTGGAAATTTGATAGTTGTTGTCCCTTTGAGTGTGTGGTAGGTGAATTTTTAATTCACATCCAAGATATTATATACATGAATGATGCATGTATATAAGGATAGTGACAAGTAATTATTTTGCTAGCTAGCCGGGTAGTTTGAATAAATAATCAGACAGGGTAAATGCATTAAACATCAAAAATTTAATCCGGATTCTTATAGAACTATGATAATCTTAACGAGTTTATACATTGATAATCTTAACGAGTTTATACATTGTTTAGTACAAGAACAAATTATTTTTTCGTTATGCATGGCATTGTAGTGCAGACACGTGGTTATAAATTAATACGGATGGTTTGATGTGAAAACTGATGAACGTTACGTTGAACGGAGGTTGAGAATTGATGGTATTGTTATCTGGGTTTGAACTCAACTTTATGAAAACACAAGCCATTCGGAATATTATTTGGTAAGCTTGGTTCAGTGATTATCCTTTTTCCTTGACAACGTTCAAGGATTATGGTTATTAAAAACGTTAAATAATTACCTAAAGCAAGGTTATGAAAAACTTATTAGTCAAATAGAAATAAAAAAAGGAGTAGAGTTATCAACGAATTCAGAATATCAGATATTTGGTGCTAAGAGCTATGAACTATGAAGATTAGTTAGGCTCTCAGATGGGTTCAAGGGCCTATGCTAACATATTTACATATTGTCGCTCTGTAAATGGGCTTTAGGATAATCCGGCAAGCCCAGTTTCTTCTTTGTCCGGGACATTTTTGTAGTGGTGCGAAGAAGATTGTGGTCGCTGATCATTAATAGTCATAGATTACAATTTTTTAGGGGGGGGTGGGGGGTCAAACGTGATTAAAGATGACTATACGAGTTCATATTGTAAAAGCCATTATATTATCAATTACTATATGGGCACGTTGGAAGAAAGAAAAGTCTATCGTTGAAAAAAAAAAGAGAAGAGAAGTCTATCGTTGAAAATAAAAAATAGTTCTACACTATAAATGGTTTATGGTTGGAAATAATGAGTCTACCAAGTCGTTCTTTGTTTTATTCAGTATTTCTTGGTGTCACAAGTCAAAACAGATTTGGCCATTTTAAAATTTAAAGAATGCTTCCAAGCGTGACAAATAAAAAAAGATTTGTGGATGAATGGGGTCTTAAGAAGCGAGAACATAGAAAAATAATCTAGAACAATAGCGACTAGTGTTTAGTGGATATATATTTATCATGCATACTATCTGATTGATATATCACGTACGTAGATATAAAATTTTAAATGTTAACATGTTCAGTTTCAGATATTAAAAGATGATATTTGGTTTGTGGTATTTGGATACAAATTGCTAAAAAACTCGTTCGTTCATTGAGAAAATATCATAAAACGCATAAAGTAAACGTAGAAAAATATCATAGAATACTTTCTTTTGTCATAAAATACTTGACTAATGGGACCAAAACAATAATCGTTGTTGACGGCTTTGAGTTGAGAAGACAAATTGGGAGATGAGAACTAAAAGCAATAAGAAAATCTGGTACAGAGAAAAACACTTATAAATGCTAAAAATTAAATCAAAAGTGGAAAGGCTGGTGGAAGGTAAGGGGACATGGTCACTGGCCGAGCAACCTTTATGGAAGAGGGTCATTTTGACACCTATGGTTTTTTAAAAAAAAATTAGTAAAATATAACAAAACTGCTTTATGCTTTATAACCATAGTTCTTGACGTATTATCCAAAACTCGAAAATCGAATCAAAACCAAACCAAAACAAAAAATTAAAATCAAAACCGTACCAAAATTTATACAAATTCGAGTGGTTTCTATTTCTCAAAATATTAAATCAAAAATCGAATCAAAAATAAAATGGATATCCGAATATTCAAAATCGATATCCGAAAATTTAATAATTATAAATAATTATATATATATATACTGAAAATACATTTTATAAATAAATAAGTATTCAAAATTCTGAATTACCCAAGATACTTTTTTGGATTTGATTCAGGTTTTTGAATTATTTTTTTCGTTTAAACCCGAACCATATCTGATCAATTTCTAATTTGGATCGTTTATGAATTTGTAACATAAAATTAATTGTTTGGTTCCTACTCTCATGCTATCCAAACCGATTTATTTTGAATGGATCTTAAACACAAATGCCCAACGCTAATGACCCAGTTAGAAAATGTGGCTAGACATGATCATTGATGCTCGCACTTGAAACATCATTCATGGTTGCTGCCGCTTCGGCTTAAAAGTGAACTCAATCATATTCTAAAGGATGCTAACCGTAAACTCTAAGAGCATGTTTAATGGAGATTGCTTAGAGAGTTGATTAAGAGGAGATGAGTGTTTAATTTGAAGAGAGAGAGAGTTGCTTAGGAGGAAAGAAGTTGCTTAATTAAGCACTTTTCACATTCTCTCTTTTCAAATTAAGCACCCCTCTCCTCCTAAGCAACTCTCTAAGCAACATGCATTAAACATGCTCTAAGTGTTACATAATGATTCATATTTTGTTATTTTTTATATATCTTGTATTATTAAACACGTGGGAATATTTATTGAAATATAATTTTTCTAATTTTTGTATGTAATCGGCATTAAGAAAATATGGAAACTATTTTATAATATCACAGAGATTTGACCATGATATATTCTCTGTATTTCATATTAAGTGTTATTTTATCTCTGTCCATACAGATAAAGAAAATAATTAATTTTGTATATTTTTTATATAAAAAAATAATTAATTATACACCTAATAATATTTCAACTAATAAAAAGAAATTATAATATAAAATTAATAAATTAAAGTCAAAAATTACATTTATTTTGTAACAAACTATTTTTTCTACAAAGATATTTAATATGAAACAAAGAGAATATATATTTCTTTTTTAAAAAAAAGAATGATAAATAATCTCAAGCTTATGACGCTTGTTCTATTGAAGACTACTGAGTGGTTATAAAAAGTAAAGAAAAAAAAGTAATTGGTGGGAAGATCCCAATTCCCAACCTTGGCAAAACATTTCCATCTGTCACTCACTTTCAAGAAGACTCATAAAAGAAGAAAAGAGGTGACGACTCAAAGAAGTTCCAAGAAGACAATACTGAATATACTTTCCCGCCGATACGATTGGTTGTTCTGTTTCTGGATTACTTTTTTTTTGAAGTTAAAGATTTGATCCTTTTTCTCTGGGAGTCTACCGACATGGCATCGGCATATTCTAGCGGCGGAGATGGCGGCGTAAGGAATCTTGAAGCGTCGATAACGGCGTGGCATTTCCAGACAGCAGTCTATCTTGCCTTCGGGTTCTTCTTCTTGAGACTCTTCCTCGATAGATTTGTCTTTCAAGTAAGTAATAAATAAATAAGATTTTCAGTTTTTTTTTTTAAATATTTTTCTCTTTTGTAACTTTGGTTTGTATAAGAAAAGAGATTCGTTAGATAATGAGCAGTATTGTTGTTGGTTTGATTCATGCATCTTGTGCAAAGAGCTTGGAGAATTTGATCATCAATATGTCACACTGTCTTTTAACAGAGGATAGCTGTATGGCTTTTGAGCACCGCTTCTTCTGCGCCTATTAAAATGAACGATCCTTCTACTCGTGCTAAGCTCGTAAAATGCAAGGAGTCTCTGTGGAAGCTCTTGTTTTACGGTGCTTGTGACATATTTGTTCTCAAAGTCCTTTTTCACGAGCCATGGGTCACAGAAGTCAAGCTCTACTTTCACGGTTGGCCTAATCAAGAGTTGAAGTTAGTTAATTTTCTTCTACTCATCTCTCTTTAATTTCTTAGTTTGGAATAAAGCTGTGGAATTTAGAGTCATTTCATGGAGAGTTTTCTCTGTGGACATGCTACACGTTATAACCTAATGTTAACTCTTCTTTTTGCTAGGCTTCCGATAAAGCTTTACTATATGTGTCAGTGCGGTTTCTATATGTATGCTGTTGCTGCCTTGCTTGCATGGGAGACAAGAAGAAAAGATTTTGCTGTTATGATGTCTCACCATATCATTACCATCATCCTCCTTTCCTACTCCTACTTAACCAGGTAATTAGTTATATTTGCATATTGATGCTTTACCTCAAGTAAATTTGCTAAGTTACAAGTCCAATCATAATATTTTTTTAAACTCCATTCATAATAATAATAAAAGAGTTTTTAGTGGACTAGATTATTATGTGTGAATTTGTTTTGGGTTTCTTGTGCAGTTTTTTCAGAATTGGAGCAATCATCATAGCCCTTCATGATGCAAGTGACGTGTTTATGGAAACTGCTAAAATTTGCAAGTACTCTGAAAAGGAATTTGGAGCCAGTGTGGGGTTTTCACTCTTTGCTCTCTCTTGGCTCCTGCTTAGGTTGATATACTTTCCATTTTGGATCATCAGGGCCACTAGGTCTCCGCTCTTGTTTCTTACCTCTTGCTTATTACATATATACTTGATTTTTTTGTCAATGCTTTATCTGACATTCACCCTTTTTTTTTGTTTGGTTAAAGCATTGAACTCCTGGATTATTTGGATATGACATCAGGTGAAGGCACCATCATGTACTATTCCTTCAACACACTGTTACTGACGCTTCTTGTTTTCCACATATATTGGTGGTATCTCATTTGCGCAATGATCGCAAGACTACTTAAAAACAGTGGACAAGTGGGAGAAGACATAAGATCCGGTAAGGTTTATGTAACTTTGTTTAAACCCGGTTTTGAAAGTTATGTGGCCTGTGTAGAGTAGAGGAGAACCATCAGAGTTTTTTTTTCTAAAAAAGAATTGTTTGTTTGTTATTGTCAATGGCAGATTCAGAGGATGATGAATAGGCTTTGCAAGCATGCCAGATACGGAACGTGTTTCCACTTCTCCAACCAAACCCTGTTGCTGCTGATGAATTTGTTCTCAGTTTCAACACCTTACTGATTAGAGTTGGAGGTTAAAAAAAAGAAGAAGAAGAAAGGCTATAGTTTTTTTTTTTTTTCAGTTTTGTATTGGTAAGTACTGTACATTAGACCGCAGATTTTCGTTGAAAAATATAAGGAAAAAACAGAAACTCAGCTTTTAATTGCTGTTCTATGCCGTGTATAAAAATGTGCAAGTCACTTTGTAAATTCAAATTCCTCTTTGTATCTATTCAATAGCTTTTTATGTTTTTTTCTGGAGCTCAACAAAAATGATCCCAGAGAATGCCTTCGTTGCATGCAGGTCCGGTCCGGAGATTTTAGGGGAATCATAGTTGATTTAGTAAAGATGTTAATTACAAAAAAATTTACAGATTTGGAGGCCTTTTTTTTTTATAAATCTGGGGACTTATGTCAATGTAATTTTTTCTAAAAATTTTGAGGATCATAAACGAATGTTTCATCGGGCTGTTATGCACTATACACCTCTTATGTGTCATGTCTCATTGACACAGTCTTACTGTCATCTAGTAATCTTACCTATATTCTTGTTCTTTTTTTCCTCACAAAAGAGTATTTTGAAACAACAGTAAAAACATTAGAGCTATTTAGCTGAAAAACCAAAGAAGATAGCATAATTAGTAAAATACCAAAGAAGGAAAAATCTGTGCTTACGTGTTCAATCATGCGATGGTAAAAAGACATAAACACCCTGCCCGGATTACTTCTTCGCTTCCCGGGTTTAGCTTCAGGTCACAGCTTCTGACAGAAGATCAAGAAAAGATTTGGCAAGATAAGAAGAAGATTTGGTGTACATAGCATAAGCTGCATCGGTAAGCTCAAAAATTTATCCCCCCAGAAATATCTCTGACGCAAACGGCAGCACTGTTAACAAAATCTCTCCCAAGATTTCCTAATTTATTTTATATTTTAAGATTAATCGGAAAAGCACACCGCTTATACATCTTCTCTCTGCCTTTATAAGATAGAGTTAGACGGTTTCAGCTTTCTGCAGAGAGAAACTTCAGTACCGTGAGGAGCTAATTCTGTGAGGGAGATAAGTTCGAGAAACAAAGTGGAAAAGGTGAAGAAGATTCTGTAGTAGCTTTAAATGTAGAGAATATTGTCAAATTCTGTTAAATCCATAGTGTTTTGGTCGGAGTTTATTAATGTGCCATAGCATTAACTCCATGTTTCCAATCATTGCTTATCTACCTTATTATACGTAGAGAAAGTTGCTATAAATCTGATGGAAACTTAATTTTTTGGACAGGAATGGGTCGTTTTTTTCAGAATCTGGCATGGTGAGTGGAAGAAGAACGTTCAAGAGCAGTGGTACTTTGTCCCAAACCATGATGATTTCGGCTTTACGATGTACATGGATTCCCCTGAGGCCTTTCCGGTGATTGATGCTACCGTCAGGGAATGGTACATGCTCCGACCCGAGACTCCGGTTTTCTTAACCTACAGGATGCCAAACTGGATGCTCTTGCCAAGTGGACCTTCCTCGCCGAGAAGAATTTCTACGACATATGACTTGGTAAGTTTGTTAAGGGAGAGGTCACCACTAAGTGACATAACTCTCATCTGTACTTTCGGAGCCAAAAGCATGGCAGAGTTTCACTTTCTCTGTCGCTCTGATTTCACGATAGGAGCTTCAACCTATGTAGTGGGAGAAGGTCAAGATGAGAGAATAAGAGCAAGATATGAGAGTACATATTTTTCTACTTGCTTAAACGTCTTAGACATAAAAGTATTTTGTATCTTTTGATGAGCACCTTACTCAATATTTTTTATTACAGGATTGGTGCTGGGACAGAGACTGGTGGTGAGCGAAAGTGTTATGAGAGAGGTATTTGGGGAGGAAGAGATGGCAATCCTCCACCGTGTTGCTCTGGAGATGGCTTATGCTGATAGGATTCTGAGACGTGGAACCGATGATGGTGTAGTCCGACGAATGGAGATCATTCAGCTTGATGACGATGCCGAGATGGCTGATGTGACTCAGAACGTGGGGCCTCTGAAGGTATTATTCCCGAAAATGGAGGTATGTAACAGCCAAGTACAAATATTTTCTTGGCCAATTAATTTTAAATAAATACATCTGCGTACTTAGTATTTAGTTGTGTCTAATTTTTGTGGGGTTGTGGTGTACAGGGACAATCGCTCCCTTCGAGTCCCAACAAGTGCCTCTCATCCCTGCTACAGATGCACCATCTGTTCTTTGGGATGTTGGTGTTGACTTGTTCGACTATCCTGAGATGTATAACACAGAAATGGGCCGTCGTAAGCTAGCTGAGGACGCGACTTTTTGGGAATCTGTCATTCAAGCAAATCTCGAGGATGATGAGGAAGTAATGTACATTGCCAGTCATAATGAAATCCGTGTGGGGTTGGCTTTAGAGGAGACAAGGAAGGTAGGAAATGGAGACGCTAACGGGGAATCCTCATCATCTTCCAATGCCATCGTCCATACTCCTCTTGGAGTAGAGGTTAGGTCCAAAGACATGGAGGTTCCCAGAAATGATAAGGGAGGTAAGGGTATTTATATAGTTATTTTGATAGTTCATGATATTACTAAAATTTGTGTTGATTTACCTGACTAATTCAGACTTAATTTTCAGGGACAGAAGTTATTGATCTGGATGGTTATGACGGATGCAACAACAGCAAGGCAGATGTGACAGTGAATGTGAGTGTGGGAGGAGGTTCAGCAGCAACTGATGGTCAGACACAAGCAGCTCATAAATCGGGGAACACATCGTCGGAGGGCAGCGACAACGAGGGTGGGTCTTGAATCCAAGTCCTTTGAAATGAAATGTTTAATATGGTACTAGTTTTATTATCTTTTGGCCTTTTAAGGGTATGATTCAGCTAATGGTAGGTTACAACAAAGTTTATCCCGTGGTGGTATTTTTTTGTGAGGGTTAAACTTTAACGTAACCGAGACAAACTCTAGGTATTTTCGTTTGTATTTTTTGAATTTCTCTTTCAGAAGTATGTGGGATTAACGGTCGGTATGTAGGGGTTTGATGTTTTTCTGATGTATGAAAAATGATGTACTAGTTTCATGGTTTAATCAAAAATATAATGGATATGATGCATGTTTATATTAGCTGATATTTGTGATTAATACGGTTTGGTAACACTTCTCTAATGTGACCATTGAATATGATGTTGTCTAATGTATTTTGGCGCATACAAACTAAGAGGGTCAGTAATATTCGTAGCCGGCTAGACGATCTTAATGTAGTTGGCTGGGTAAAAACTCAAAGACGACAATTATATTCTTAACCGTCTCGACGATTTTAGTTGCTTAAATTCTATACTATGAATTTGGTGTGATGTAAATTGACTTCTTAACCAAGTAGCCTATATGAATTGCTTAAGTCACAAAGTAACAGGTAGGTCTGAGGAGTTTACTCATATTAACCGTCATTTATTATTACTTTGGTTGAGGACTATATATTATAGTGTTGCATATGGAAAGAAAACAATTTTGGTTACCCGGTTATATTTTGTGAATTGTTCAGTGAAAACAATTGTTTACCAGTTACAATATCCTGAGTACTGTTTAACTATACAAATTGCATAGTGAAATTTTTTCCACCACTGGTTACCATGGTGTAAACATATTTATTTCTGTTTTTCCAACAGGCGCTGAAACGTATGCTTTTGGAGAAGACATAAAAGTTGGAATGATGTTCAGGAACCGTGAGGCATTCAAGCATCATGTAGCAATGTTTGCAATTGCGCAGAAGTTTTGTTTCAGATGCACAAAGTCGGATCCAGCGATGATGGTAATGCAATGCATCGGCGCATCTGTCAGTGGATCTCTGTACAATCTCGTAAATCTCCGTGCTATTAATATCCCCACTATCGGTTGCAATGGAACTTTACATTTCGAAGAAGCAAATCAATTTAGCCGGCTTAATAAAAAAGCAATATGCTACTTATGTAAATGACTTTATAAATAGAAAGTTTGGACTTACAATGGGGTCTGCATCTTGTCAAGTAACGAAGCAAACTTAGCAGCATAATCTATGTGGCGTCCCTTATAGATTGCATCTGTAAACGCCTTTCTCGCATGGTTTAAAAAAGTCTTATCACATTCATACTCACCCATAAACATCTTTGTAGGGACCTTCTGCCTCTTTCCCCTCCTAAAGCCTATTTCAGGTTCGTCAATATTAGCGTCACCTTGATCCGCATTAACAGCTTCATGATCCGAAGCAATATTAGTGTTATTGTTCTTTCCCATGGCCGCCCGTTCCTCCTGTGTGAGTCCAAGCGAGAAGGTTGGGTTGGGAAACAACAAAGCAGGATCAAGGTTCTGCATAGGTGAAACAAGTGAGAATGGGTAGATAACTATAGTTCTATATAGACTTTCAAATCAAGTGATGGTTGAAGTGAGTAAACATACCACGTCTTGCTCAGACTGAGTGCGTAGAGGTGCTGATTGATCATCTGCAGTTCTTCCTTGGCAATAGTTACCAGTAGTCCCAGTCGCCTTTGTAGTTGTCTCGAAGGTGTACTGTCAGCTACATGTTATCAATGAACATTAGACAAGATAAACATATCCTAATTTACGTTGTATGGTCATGATTGTAACCGGCTACAAATTCACTTACATATGGATGAGCATGAGTTGAACGTTGTGCAAACCTAATTGCGTCTGATATTATGGTTGTAGTGTCAGGCACGGTTTGCGTACTGGCGTCTACCACGGTTGGACGTGGTTTCTCCCTGGGAACAGAAAATCCCGGGCCGGCCGCGGTAAAGTTTTGCATTTCTGCTGTTGTCATTTTCGCGACACTATCAGCAACAACTCCATGCAACTCGCTGAAATTAAATAGAATCGTATCAGTGTATCCAGTAAGTGATTCCTGCATTGTCGCTGTGTTGCCGTGAAGCAGTTGAAAATCCTCCTTGAGTTTTTCTCTAACTAAATTTGCAAGCAAATCAACATCGACACCTTCTTGATTCTGACAACTACTGCTACCTTTTGTTTTTCCAGTCTTCCAGTTTAGAATATTAGCTTTACCCTCTTCGCGGATCCTACTCACATCATATTTGGTTGAGCCACCGACAAAGTATTCGGGGAAGAAAGTGTGGTGGTCGTTGATTAGCTTAACCATATTAGAAACGCCAACATCTTCTTCATCGTCTGACCATTCATACTCTGCATCAATATTTGTTTCACCATTTGCATCTACCATGATTGACTGTACTGAAGCCTGTAATTTATTTAAAATAGACAACATATCTTCAACTTTGTAAAGACATTTCTATATTCACTCTCAACCCAAAAGAAAAAATGAATAAGAAACTAAGTGAGCAAATACCTTGCCTGCCGCATCAATGTCCCGTGCGTGGCCCGGGCTTATACTTTTTTGCCCCCTTTCTCACGGACATGTGAATGATCTACGTCATGAGATGTTTTTACGACGTCAATATCTGTTACGACAGGACTTTTACAGCGATTTTGTTATCGTTGTTAATTCGTCATAACTCACCATTGCCAAAAAATTAACAACAATCTACGTCATCGCAATGATTAACTGTACTAAAATCCTGGGCCGGCCACGGTAAAGTTCTGCATTTCTGCGGATAGTGTTGTCATTTTCGCGACACTATCAGCAACAACTCCATGCAACTCGCTGAAATTAAGTAGAATCGTATCAGTGTATCCAGTAAGTGATTCCTGCATTGTCGCTATGTTGTCGTGAAGCAGTTGAAAATCCTCCTTGAGTTTTATCTCTAACTAAATTTGCAAGCAAATCAACATCGACATCTTCCTGATTCTGAAAACTACTGCTACCCTTTGTTTTTCCAGTCTTCCGGTTTAGAATATCAGCTTTACCCTCTTCGCGCATCCTACTCACATCATATTTGGTTGAGCCACCGACAAAGTATTCAAGGAAGAAAGTGTGGTGGTCGTTGATTAGCTTAACCATATTAGAAACGCCAACATCTTCTTCATCGTCTATCCATTCATACTCTGCATCAATATTTGTTTCACCATTTGCATCTACCATGATTGACTGTACTAAAGCCTGTAATTTATTTAAAATAGACAACATATCTTCAACTTTGTAAAGACATTTCTATATTCACTCTCAACCCATCAAAGAAAAAATGAATAAGAAACTAAGTGAGCAAATACCTTGCCTGCCGCATCAATGTCCCGTGCGTGGCCCGGGCTTATACTTTTTTTGCCCCCTTTCTCACTGACATGAGAATGATCATCATTTTCAGAAGAAGATGAACTTCCATCCTCGACCACTTCGGTCAGCGCTGGTACACATTCAACCATTACAAGTTGCAGCAAAAGTACAAACCCCTTGAGGGCAATGGTGTTTTGTGAAAGGGAAACCTCCTTCCTCTCCTTAATGCTGCTCATCAATAAGTTGAATGAGACCCTTCCCCATGGATACGCAAAAAAGACACCCAAATCTCTGATCATCTCCGCCGCTTCCGGTGAGATACGTGGCGTATGTGTTGTCGGAAGTATAACAGCGACGAGAATAGCTAGGTATGCGTACTTTAACCTCATTTCACGATCAACCACCGTATTTTTGGCGAGCATCCTCACTACCGATGAAACAAGAATGTTGGTAAGGGTTCCAAAAAGCTCATACCAGTAGGGTTTCTGTGCGACGGAGCTCTTGGTGTTCTTTTTTTTTCCTTGTTTTGGAAACTGTTTGCAGTTCAGCCCCGTGACCAAAGCAAACTCCCTAATTGAAAACCTAATAGGTTTTCTGGCGAACAAGAACCATGATTCATGCTTCTTCATGACCTTCAGTTGTCTTGATAATAAGTATCTCCCAAACCGCCCTGAGAAACTTGGTTTGTCAGCGATTTCAACCAATTTCCCAAATGGAGAATCCCTAACCTCTTCAATTTCATCGGGAGTAAGGGCATTGAGGATTTTCCTAATCCCGTCGGCCTTGTGATACGGAGTAACCCTAACACCGGTGGGTTCTTCACCGACGGCGAAAACTCTTTCCGCAAGTGGACACGGAGGCCTCCGTAAGCCGTCGCTCTCCTCCATACGCTAATTTCTTTTGCTTAATTGAGTTTGGGGCCGATATTTAGTTCTCGTGTATGGGTTAAAGAAGGAGATTTCAAATTCTATGTTTTCTTCGTTATCTATGATAACGCCGAAAGTTCTGACAGAAAAGATATGGTGAATCTACCATATCTACTCCTTCTCTCGCATGTAATAGTAGTTGCTACCCGTTGGTTGAGGTCAGGTGAGAGGATACAACGAACATGCGTTAAAGAACTCGACAAACAGTAACCGTTTTTTCGGATTTTGGTATTCCGCAAATTATGCATAAGGTTTTTGGTAGGAGAGAAAATTTCTCAAAACATTATAACAAAACAAAGACATAATATGTTAGACCATCATTATCCCAGGTCATTAACTGGGGTGTTTAAGAAAAGCGGTAATTTAATTAAATAAAAAATAATTAAAATGGGAGTTATCGATCCTTATTGTGAGATTTGGCAACCGATTTTAAGTGGAGTTTTTAGAACACGTGTCACAAAACCCTAAAATTTCAATTCTTTTTCTTTTTCTCTCCTTCTCCTCTCGGCTTCGTCGTCTCCTTCTCCTCTCGGCTTCTCCCTGGACGGTACAAGCTCCCCTAAGTTAACAACAAAAGCACTCTTCTTTCGTTTCTTCAGCTACCAAATCTCTCTCTCCAGGTTTATATCTGATTCATCTTAGTCTCTCTCTTTCGTTTCCTCTGATTCTTGATTCCATTTTTTTTTATTTTTTTTTCCGATAAATGACTGGTCTTTGCTTCGGTTCATTGGGATCTGGTTTAGACAGAAAGGGAAGCTCAGTGACTGTGAACTCGATGTTGTAGTCTTGAAGAATATGATCTATGGAAGGATGACCTACGTACTACACTCAGTTTCAGCTAAGGACAAGAGATGGCCCCAACCATGGGACCACATAATAACACACTGCTTGTTCGTAAGCTACCAGTTGTTGATCCAAGGTATGTTTTCCTGGCGCTAAGGATAACTACACTTACATAACTGGTAGGAAAGGGTTAGTTCTTGTAGTTTCATGATAGGGATGTCTTGGATTGTATATAGGCTTTTTTTCTTCCTTCAGAGGATGTTGAGGCCATGAAAGTAGAGTTTTGGATTCAAACAAGTCTCAGAGTATTGCTTTTTTACTATCAACACTTTCTCACCACAAGTGATGTTTGCAAGTCCCTTCGAAATGGTATATCATCAGTTTTACGAAGCTTATTTACTTGTATTGAGTTGAATCTGAGGTTGGTATTTCTTATGAGTCAGGTCACTATGAAGCGTTTGGAGTTGAGCTTCTTGAGAGTTTATCAAGAGTGGCACCGAGTGAAGAGGAAGAGGGGAAGTTGAAGAGCTATAGTGATGATGATGACTCAGTGATCAAACTTGCCCCATCAGAGAGGTTTCTCAAAGTGTTGATGCATTGCTCTTTGTTGCTACTTTTGCTTCCAAGATTGAACACTTGAAACAAATCATTTGGCGTTATACATGTATATAATATTGAAATTGTTTTAGAGACAGGAATGAAGAGCGTGAATGCTCAAGACTTCAAGCTGGTCTCATTGCAAAATAAAGATGAAGGTTCTTCAAAGAAGAAGACACTCTCATTGCAAAATAGGTTTGTCATATATTTTTGATCTCCTAGATGTTTTTTAAAGAACCTTGCAATGGAGCAATTAAATGTTGGGATTTATTAACTTTGTTTCTTAAGTCATTTTTTGTACTTAAAACCATTAAAAAATAATAAGAATCTCTAATATGGATTTTTGCAATAATCATGCCCTTAGATTTGAGTTTATTATGGATCTCTAACCTAAATTTAATTGGTGATAAGTGGATTGGCCATTACTTTTTATATATTATTTAAGCCCGGAAGCTTCTAGGACAAGTGGTTTGCGTACCACGTCAATCTCCCATGCATCTGAGGTACGCACTCCGCACCTCTTGCGGTCAGGCTAATGGGCCGTCTGGTTCGGCCCGGTGTGGCCCAGTAAGTGGACAAAAAAGGTTAAAAGATATTGTCTAACTACTCAATTTTTTTAAAAAATCATGTATATGAACTTCCAACATAAAATCAATTGGTAATAAATGGAATGACCTTTACTCTTTATATATTACTTAATGTCCCATTAAATTTTCAATAGAATACATTATCCCTAATACAGCAAAGAAAAAAACAATGTCTTACATCACACTCTCATCATACTGTCAATTGGGTACACCCAAAAACCGTTCCACGACACTTAGTCATCGGAGCAACCTTCCTCCACACCGGACTATCACTCCCAAACGTCAAAACATCTACATCCGACATCTTCTTAATATCCCAATTATCACTATCAAGTCCACCAACTCCTCCCACAAGCAAAACCTCATCACTCAAACTCGTCATCGCCATCCTAATCCTTGGCTTAAACTCAGATGCCGACACAACCATCTTACACGTCGCATCTTCCCCTTTCTTGTACACCACTCCATGAATCAAGATATAACTCACATCCTCAACAACATCCATCAGACCTTGAGGCCATGCATACTCCTGATAGAACCGTAATATATAAATTAAGGAGAACTGAATACTGAAAAAAGAAATAAAATGATAATATTACAACAAAGAGTAAGAAAAAATGAGATAACTGCATATTCGATATATTATCTCTTTTTTGCCTCAAAATAGGTCATGTAATGCGACAGTTCTATAACGTAATGAGTCCCATATAATAGTTTGTGATGATTAATACATCATTTGTAAGAATTTAAAGTCATTTATTGATAACGGTTTATAAATCCTATATAATAGTTTAGAAGTCACTATTTAGAAATCACTTTAGTGACTTTTGTACACATATCATTCATAGGTGAGTTGTTGAATTAAATGTTATAATTTGATTGGTCGATTTTCTTCTATTTATAGACAAATATATACAAAATGGACAAACAAAAAAAATATAAAAACTAAGGATAAAATCACAAAACCAAACCAACATAATGCATCAACAACGTATCCGGTTTCGCGCTTGCGCGTCCCATATAATAATAATGAAAGACATGTCATTGGACAAGATTATTATGTGTGACAATATATGTAGTGAATTATAGAGCAAGCAACCAAGAAGCTCAAGAAACTGTTTTTTTTTTTTTGTTTTTTTTGCAGTTTTTTTCCGAATAGGAGCAATAATCATATTCCTTCATGATGGAAGCGACGTGTTTATGGAAATCGCTAAAATTTGCAAGTACTCTGAAAAGGAATTTCGAGCCAGTGTGGGGTTTTCATTCCTTGCTCTGTCTTGGCTACTGGTTCGGTTGGTTTACTTTCCATTTTGGATCATCAGAACCATTAGATATCTCTTACTTATTAGATATATAACTTTATTATTTGTTTGTCAATATGCTTTATCTGACAATCACACCTTTTTTTTTGTTTAGTTAAAGCATAGAACTCCTGGATCATTTGGATATGACATCAGCTGAAAGCACCATCATGTACTATTCCTTCAACACACTGTTACTGACACTTCTTATTTTCCAACATTTATTGGTGGTATCTCATCTGCGCAATGATTGCAAGACTACTTAAAAACAAAGGAAAAGTGGGAGAAGACATAAGATCCGGTAAGGTTATCTGTTACAAGTACAGCTATAGAACTATTTAATCTGTGTTTCATATGAACCTGGGGTCATTTTTCCCTGTCTTCATTTAAACTTATGGGGATTATGAATTTGTCATTTGAATTGCAAACCCGCAATCTATTATGTTATTCATTGTTATATGTTATGTTGGCTGTGTAGTAGTGTCGAGCAACCATAGAGTTTTTTAAAAAGTAATTTGTTTGTTTGTTCTTGACAATGGCAGATTCAGAGGATGATGAGGAATAGGCTTCAAGCATGACAGACACGGAACATTGTTCCACTTCTCCAACCAAACCCTGTTGATGCTGATGAATTTGTTCTCAGTTTTAAGACATTACTGATTAGAGTCTGCATATTGACAAAATATAAGGAAAAAAAAATATATCTACTAATAATAGGAATCCTAATTAATTCCAAAGGTTGAGAATCCCCATGAAGTTAAAAAGTTGTGTTTTCTTTAATATTTATTTTTTCTGAAACAATGTGTCCGTTCAAAGGTTAGTTAATTTGAAAAAATGTGTCTATTCAAAAATTTTAATACTTCAATTTTTTTTGAAACAACATGTCCATTCAGAAGTTAGGTAACTTGAAAGAATGTGTCTATTCAAAATATATATATTTTCTGGAAAGATGTATCTATTAAAGGTTGTGTTTTAATTTTTAATATTTCATTTTTTTAAAAATAATGTCTCGGTTGAAAAAGTTAGTTAATTTGAAAGAATGTGTCTTTTCAAAAAAAATTAATATTTCACTTTTTTGAAACAAATGTATATATAGATATTCAACGAACTCAATGAATAGTTACAACTTTTCAATTATAATCAGTTATTTTAATGAATAGTCACAACTTTCTATTTTATGTAGTTAATTGAATAGTATTCTTATAATATATATAACTTGGATAGATATATTTTTTCAGAAAATATATATATTTTGAATAGATATCTTTTCAAATTATAACTTTTGAACAGACATATTTGTTTCAAAAAAATGAAATATTAAATTTTTTGAAAGATACATTCTTTCAAATTAACTAACTTTTTTCAACGACACATTATTTAAAAAAATGAAATATTAAAAATTTAAACAACCTTTAATAGATACATCTTTTCAGAAAACATATATATTTTGCATAGACACGGGTATCACCCAATCTAAGTATGATACCCTCGTAATAGTTTACGATGCCATACTACTAAGAGGCACGAGGTTGAAGTGAACGGTTAACCTTTAGGTAATATATTTGCATGAAATGGTCACACAAGTCTGGATTCTATTTGTCCTTTTGTTGTTATTTCTTTTCGCAAGGAAAGAAGAGAAATAACTGTTTCTGTGATGAAAAGTCACACTGATTCATGTGGTTTTACGTAGATTAATAAAATGGGTTGTTGATCAAGTTACAAAATGATCATAATCATTTACGTAATGGATTTTGCATGAATGCATATTAATAAATCCATTGAAAATCACGTTGGTTCATGTGTACATAATGATTGTTTGTTTAAAAGGCTCGACGTGAAACCTGGTTCTTACGGTGACAAACGTAAAGACACATACATGAATAAGTGTTCTTATTCTGGAATTTGTTAGTATGCGCTTTCCATCATCACGCATGAAAGTTTCTGTAATCCTTATGACGGTTAATGAACAGACGTATCTCTTGGAGTTAATGAAAACTATAATATAACTAAAGAATTCGTTGGAAAGTTACAACTTTTAATGAACAGGCACATTGAAAGTTAAAATTTTTCAAACTATAATTATTTTTTTAATAAATAATCACAAGTTTTTATTTATAGATAGTTAATTGAATAGCTCTCTTACAATATATATAATTCGAATAGATACATATTCAGAAAATATATATATTTAAAATAGATATCTTCTTTCAAATTAATTAACTTTTGAGCCGACACATTGTTCAAAATATAAATTTGAAAAAACATATATTTCTAAAGTAACTAACTTTTGAACGGATGCATTGTTTCAAAACAAACTTAAAATATTAAAAATAAAAACACAACTTTTGGACTTAATGGTATTTTTTGTTGACAGTGTTTCATTTGAATATCTTCTAACAATTTGTATTTAGGTAATTTCACAGAACTTTTTTTACCTTTTTTAGATTAGTGAAAATTTTAGTTTCAGAAAACTATACTCATAGACTATATATAGATATTTAAAGAACTTGTTAAAAGTTACAACTTTCAAATTATAATCAGTTATTTTAATGAATAGCCACTTTTTTCTATTTATATTTAGTTAATTGAATAGTACGTTTACAATATATATATATATTGAATAGACATAGTTTTTCAAATTAACTAATTTTTGAAAAGACACATTATTTCAAAAAGGTTGAAATATTTAAAATCTTGAATAGAAACATTTTTTTAAATTAACTAATTTTTAAACATATACAATATTTCAAAATAATTATAATATTAAATTTTTTGAATAGACATCTTATTTAAAATTAACTAACTTTTGAATGGACACACTGTTTCAAAAAAAAAAATTTGGAAAGAGACAATCTTTTAAATTAACTAACTTTTGAACGGACACATTGTTCAAAATAAATTGAAATATTAAAGATTTTGAAAATACACAATCTTTTAAATTAACTAACTTTTGAACGGCTACATTGTTTAAAAATAAATTTAAAATATTAAAAATAAAAACACAACCTTTCAGTTTAATGGGGAGTCACATATATATTTTCTTAAAGATGTATTTATCCGAGTTGTATATATTATAAGATTACTATTCAATTAACTACATAAAATAGAAAGTTGTGACTATTCATTAAAATAACTGATTATAATTTGAAAATTGTAACTTTTCAATGAGTTCGTTGAATATGAAAATATAGTCTATGTCTACAATTTTCTTAAACTAAAATTTTCACTAATTTTAAAGATGGTGAACAATAAAAGTTCTGTGAAATTATCTAAACACTTCCTATTGATCATACAAACACTTCTTATTTGTTAGAAGATATTCAAATGAAATGTTGTCAACGAAAGTAGTAGGAAAAATCATTCATGTTCGTGTTTGGATTGCTTAAAATTCTAGACGAAACAATGAAATTTTAGTCTTAATTTTCTTTTACTAGATGAAAAGATGTCTTTTTGTACTTATAAGTTTTGCATCTGTGATACGTACTTTGTAATGAATAGGGCTGGGCAAAAAAACCGAACCCAAAAATCCGAACGAATTCGACCCGATAAAAAGAAATCCGAACCGATCCGAACCCGACATAAGTACCGAATGGATCTTGTTTTACGGTATTTCGGGTTATGGATATTACCCGAACCGAACCCAAACTTAAATGGATATCCGAAAGAACCCGAAACTTTAAAATTCCAAACAAAATTGTATCATATCCAATCTAAATTTCTAATATGTTTTCCAAAACAGATTAATATATTATTGAGTACCTACAATAATTAGTTAGGATATAAATAATTAACTCAAATATTTAGTCTTATATATAGTGTTATTTAGTTAATCTTTATGTTCATGATTGACATTACATTTGAAGTTAAGTTACGAATAAATTTGTTTTGAATTTTATATAATATTGTTTTTTTTTAAGTTTAGATAGTACTTCTTACGTTTATAGAATTGTTGTTAACTTTATTTTTTTATGTTCCATTATGTATAATATTTCGTTCATACAAGATTTTGGTTTGTCATTAATCATGATATGGTTAGTATTGTCACATATAGTTCAATGACAAATCTTATATGGTTGATAGACGAGTTTCACAATATTATTTTGAAGGAGAACAATATGGTTTGTAGAAGTTAAATACACAAATTTAATAAAATGATTGAAAATATAGTGAGTTTAATTGAGTATAAATTAGTATTTTTTAGAACCGATAACCCGATTAGTATCCGAAACCGAAATTATTTCGGGTTCAACTGGATCTTGGACATGTTATTAAACCCGAACCGAACCCGACTAAACCCGAACCGAATCCGACTCGAATTTTTATAATATCCGAATGGGGTTGAAATTCATGAACCCGAAAACCCGAAATCCGAATGAACCCGAACCGAAACCCGATTGGGACCCCGATTGCCCAGCCCTAGTAATGAACACATTACACATGATTCATGGTTTTCAGACACGAATTTCAGTCTACCGTGAACAAATGAAATATATTATATTTGTTCGACAGAGAGAGCATTTTTTTTTTTTAAGTTCTCTCATGGAATAGACAATATCAACTACGAGCCCCAATTCCAGAGAAAGTAGTGTATTCGAAGTGAAACCAGATGTCAGGCAAAATCCAAGAATCTGAAAACATGAAATATTTCAAGATCTATGATTCATAGAGAAAAAAAACTGATTCATAGAAACTTACTCACGGGATTTGATGATCTAAGTATGAAAAAAACATAAGAAGAAGAAACGAACTTTATAATTCAATGAAGAAAGCTAAATAAGAGAGTGGGAAAGCAAAGGACATGATTAAGTCATGAGGAAACCATGGAAATTGGAAACTCGGAGGCGACGTGGAAGAATGGTTAGAATGAATGAAAGAGATGGCAAGAGACGCGACAGTATCAACTTTTCCTCTTCTCCAGGATGGTCACTCCGCTTGCATGTAGCCCCTCTCTGCATCCTACATGAGGTTAACATTTTTGACATGTCACAAGTATCCTGCATTTAAAAGTAGCATGACCATTTTTATTTGAAACCAGCATCACGACCGTTGTTATGAAATATTGGTGGTTTCTTTCATGTCTTCTTCGGTGATTTGACTTGGTAAGGGACAAAGGAAAGAAAATCAAATACACTTTTAAACACTCTACTCAAAGGAATATAA